ATTTTTCGCAGCAAACATTGACAATATTCCTGTCCCGCATCCAACGTCCAACACTACTTTATCTTTCACTAAAGAGGGAACAAGTGCGCGCTTGTAGGAAAGAGTGCGGTGACGGTCTTTCAGCATCTCGTCGTGAATGCCAGGGTGGGAATAACTTTCCCAGTAATAACTACTGTCGGCCTTTGATAAGATGTCTTGTGGTGCGCACTCTTCCATAGGGTTCAGTGACATGTTGACTACTTTTTCCGTTCATTCTGTTTCTTTTTTTTGGGGTTTCTCAATGACCAACTCGGGTTTGTAATTCAAAAGTAATTTTTATTCTTGATAAAATATTTTAGTCAATTAGAATGAAATTGAGAGAGTTGAAGTGTCTAAAAGCATTTCTCATTTCGAGTTGATTTGGAGTTTAAACAAAAATGGGCAACCGGGGTTATGTCTTAAAAGTAAAAGAGTTGGTAAAATAAAACAAATTTTATAATTTTAGTTTATTTATAATATATAAATTGATTGGATATTTAATTTAAAAATATAATTTAATTATTAAAAATGTATTAATACAGAAAATATTACTAATAAGAATGGTTTACTTACAAACTTATAAAATAATAGAATTATAATAAAAAAATAGATAAGAAATTTATTTACTGAAAGTAATAATTATAATATAGTTTATTAATAGTATAGAAGATTGTATAATTAAATATAATTCATATTGCCTTACAAGTCGATACTAAACCACCAGAATTGAATTATCTCATCCATTGCAAAACAATTTCAAGGCTCGACAACAGCGAATTTTGGAGTGGCTATTTTGATTGAATTGAGCAAGGTGAAGAAATCCTCAATATTTCCAGTTGCCTCATTTTGTTTCAAAAATGTTTCTTTGGAGATTCTGTTTAGTATCAGATTCACCAAGTCACTTTTTGTGCACTTCACAGTTGTGACACAATTAGCAACAAGAGCACTTCGATTATTCAAAACAGAATTTTTCAACAAGAGATAGCCATTTTCTTTTGTATCTGTAAAAGTGATATTAAAGGAAAGATCAATACCTTCGACAGGAGTCGGGTCCAAGGAAACAGCGAATACATCGAACAAATAAGCGATTGGCAATTTGAGGAGTATTCTGTCGTTGACGTTGCTCTCTCCATTGAACTGTTCCTCATTCCCACTTTTCAGTCGAAGTTCGAAGGCGGCTGTTAAATAGCAATTTCTCCACACTGCACTTTCTTGCATATATGCTGTCTGGGTATAGATATCTGCAAGTAAATATCTTGCCTTTTCATTTCTTGGATTCTTGAACACAACATTGTTTAATAGAGTAATTGCCCATTGGTATTCGCCATTCTTAAAAGAGTCTTCTGCAATTGTTATGCACCTCTCCTCTCCACCAATAGCTTCAACATATTTTGTTCCCAAATTAACAGGCGTCAATGGATTCAAATTGGCTGGATTGGCATCATAAAATCCAAGGTAGTACTGGCATTGTGCTCTACAATTGTGTGACACTGTACCATAGTAGTCTCTGTTATAAAACACGGAAGACAGACTCTTTGGGAGAACCACTTTTTCTGGGAGTTCGTTGAGTGTTGTTCCCAAGTTGACTTGTCTCAACGTTTGGTCGTGGATGTATTTGTATAAGTCTCTCTGCTTCTCGTAGTATTTCACGATATTTTCATTTCCAAAAGTCGGCCAGTTGTGTGTACCAAACGAATAGTCCAATTTGTCTGCATATCTTACCAATATATTATCAATATATTTCGACCAATCTTTCCCATTTCTGACTTGTGCACCTCTAAGAGTATATAAGTTGTGTTGAAGTCGATTGATCTCTTCAGCAGTGCATATCGCCTTAAGTTCTGGGAAGTACATCATCATTTCCGTTGGTGCTTCTGCATTCGGCGTATACATAAAGTCGATTGTGATACCATCTACAATTTTTGTGGTGTCTTCAACTATCTCAACGTAATGTTTGGGCGCAAATGTACTGATCTGACCAGCACCACTTTCAGTACCGAGACCACACCCAACCCACCCTTTCGGACTCTTTTCTAAATTGGACCCAAACATATAAACACATCGCCTCTCCATGGCTACACCAGCCAACAGATTTTCAGAGACCATCACCTTGAAAAAATCCTTTGGAATATAAACTTCGGTGTTTTCTTCTAAGACGGAATTAAGCCCTTTAATGTGGTCTCCGTGCGAGTGAGTTAATAAGACAGCTGTAACGGGAAGGTCAGCTACTTTGTCACGAACTAATTGAATGCCAGCAGCTGCACTTTCAAGACAACATAACGTGTCGATGACAACCCACCCTTTCTCGCCTCGTACAAATGTCATATTTGCAATGTCAAAGCCTCGGAATTGGTACACTTTATGTGGAATCACTTCGAAGAGCCCATGAATGCGATTGAGTTGGCATTGTCTCCAAAGTGATGGGTTGACTGTTTCGGGACATTCTTTTTCGAGAAAGTCAGTGTCATGGAAATTAAAAACTTCACCACCTTTGTTATTAGAAATTGCACCTCCTTCAATTGTACACATAAATCCATGGCTTGCGTCAGCATAGTCTTGCTTGTCGGTGAAGTCCAATTCACTTAAAACTTTAGTGTTGTGTTGTTTAACAAAGTCGCAGGCCATTTCTTCAATTTAATAAGTTCGACACAGTATAGATTTGTTTTGAAATTGGTGCTTTTCCACTATTTTGAACTTTTATGTCATGTCTTTTCAACATTATCACTCAATTTTTCTATTTATATTTTAATATCCATTTTATGGATATTTGTTTATGATTACTTTAACTAATTTATTAATATTAATTAATAAATTGTAATTGTTTTTTAATATACAAATCATTAAATAAACTATTAAAACATTAAATGGTATTTTGTTATTATATGATATAACATTTACTATATGTTATAATTAAAATATATTTATTATATTTTAACTAGATATTAACCCTTCACTCAGTGAAGGGAATAATAATTATATTTTTTATAGATAAATAAAACTACAGTTGGGAAAATGAACCTTAGCCCAATTAATGTACTTTAGCCCGAAAAAATAGTTAATTTACCTTAAAAAAACACGGGTTTTTATAAAAAAAACAAATATTTTAGAAAATTGCCTTTTATTATTGTATAGTTTATGTTTTTAATATAACAATAAAAAATAATTAGTTTTTCTTTGGGCTAAGGTTAATTTGCTGGGCGTAGATTTAATAACTTAACTGTAAAATGAAATAACAGTACAGTTTATTGAAATTTGAAAAAAATTTATTTTTTTCTCGTTTTCTCGTTTTCTCGTTTTCTCGTTTTCTCGTTTTCTCGTTTTCTCGTTTTCTCGTTTTCTCGTTTTCTCGTTTTCTCGTTTTCTCGTTTTCTCGTTTTCTCGTTTTCTCGTTTTCTCGTTTTCTCGTTTTCTCGTTTTCTCGTTTTCTCGTTTTCTCGTTTTCTCGTTTTCTCGTTTTCTCGTTTTCTCGTTTTCTCGTTTTCTCGTTTTCTCGTTTTCTCGTTTTCTCGTTTTCTCGTTTTCTCGTTTTCTCGTTTTCTCGTTTTCTCGTTTTCTCGTTTTCTCGTTTTCTCGTTTTCTCGTTTTCTCGTTTTCTCGTTTTCTCGTTTTCTCGTTTTCTCGTTTTCTCGTTTTCTCGTTTTCTCGTTTTCTCGTTTTCTCGTTTTTCTCTCGATTTATGACTTTTTCGTTTTTTTTTTCGTTTTTATGTTATTTTACATTTTTCTTGTTATTTTCTTGTGATTATATTTTGAATAACATTTGTGTGTTTGTTTGTTTTGCTCTTTTTTAAATTTTATTTAGTTAATTAAATTAAAATAATATAGTCAGTTTGAAAACGTTGTCCAGGCATTTTTGGACCATCAAAACTAAAATATTTCGGGAAACAATTCGAAACACTCCCAAAACATTGTTTCATAATTTTTATCAGGATTTGGTCGTTTTTTCTAATTCCCAAATTTTTAAAGTTATTTTGTGTAATTTTTTGTCAAATGGACAACGTTTTTAGACAAACTTTATTTGAAAATTTTAACTTTTTTATGGAACTAAACTTAAATAAAACGATAGTTAGTGCAAATATTAACTGTCGTTTCTTAAACAGTATCACAATTTACTATTATATTTAGTAAAATTAACCATTAATATAGTACACTCTTAATAGAATAAAACCAATAAGAATAGATACTGTAGAGGTTCGCAGTTATTAACTTTCAGTTAATAACTTTTAACTTTAACTGAAATTAAAATTGTTTTTTGAATTTAATAAAAATGTTATAAAGATGGTCAAACATAATTAAGTTTTGTAAATTTTTGTAGCATTACAAATTTAAATAAAAGTGGTAAAACAAAAAAGATAAAATACAATAAACTTTAAATGATATTTTGAAAACATGTTGTTTAAATAAAATAATAAATAATTCCCAAAAATGTTTATTTAATATACACAATGTTTTAAATATATTCATGACAAAATTAACAAAATCATTATTTCCAAACTTTGCAAACCAAAATCAGATGGTATATATTTCACAAATAATTCACTTTAAATTAAACAAGAATGATTATTAAATTCAAAAATATATAAAAAATATTATAATTTATTGATTTTTAAAATTTTATAAATACCATGATAAAACAAAATGTGAAAAATAATCAAAATATAAGATTGAATAAAAAATGCCAATTATTATTTAAAATGGTATATTAATTATTCGAACATTTTTGTAATAAAATATAATAGTTAACCATTATATTATTAAAATTTTGAATATGCACATGTTTATATGTACTTCTTTTAAATACATGTACTCAAAATCATGTGAATTTTTTAAATAACATGTATATTATGAAGTCATATTTATATGTCAAAATACTTTTTTTAAAAAAGAGTGATACACAAAATTTTTGTGTTTCAAAGATGTCAATTTAAGCACAAAACGAGATGATATTTGTATACTGATAAATAACAATCAAAAACAAAAGTTTGTTAGAATTGTAGTTTGAAAATACATATACAAATTTAAATAATATTGTTAAATTGTAAATGCTAAAAACAATGAAAAATATAGTGGTTCATTAATGCCTGAGTTATAAACAAACATACTTTGACTTATCTTATTAAGAATCCAAATTATTTTAGAAAATAATTTCATTTGTTTAAATAGTTTAACAAACAAAACACAAGTGATAATATATTGTTTTAAATGTGTGCAGAGATGATAAAACGCGTCTAAAAAGTTTGTATGATTTGATTAATACAACTAGTATTTTAATAAAATCTTATTGATTAATCTTATTAGTTTATTGATCGAATAATTATAGTTTATAAATATTTAAAATATGTTCAGTTCGTGATTTGATAAACTGATAAACTAATAAACATTGAATTAAAATACAGGTTTATTACAAAAATAACACATAAATACTATTAAATGAAACTAAAATTTTATTTTGTTAATAATAAAAGTTTAAACTCGAATTTCAAAACAATTGTAAATTAATTACTTATCATAGCAATGATGATATCATATTGTTTTTTCCATACTCATGGAGAAAAACGAGTTGTTCCAAATGAATTGGTGTTAATGTTGAACGACGTGGAGTATGTACTAAAGAACATTCTGAAAACAATCGCTCTGAAGATGAAGAAGATGCAAGCAAACATAAATATTTTGGTACAAGTCTGCTAATAAGAGGATAATCACAACTGTGTTCTTTCCACCATTCCAGTGGATTAAAAAATGATTTTTTATCAACAAATCCCGCATTCAACTATTTTTCAACTTCTTTTATAACAAGTTGTCGGATATCAGTTAGATCGGGTATCCCCTCTATTTCAGAAGTGAAATCAATATCAACATCTTTCTTTTCAACATTATTCTTACCATTTTCGACTTCTTCTGAATTGACTAGAATGACTTCATCAATAAATAGATTCATGTATTCTATTTCTACAAATTCAATTTCAAATCCAGTACACTCAATAACATGTTCATTAAATTTTCTATTTTTATAATGAGGATTAAGCAATGATGAAATAATATAATTTACATCTTTTCTGATAGACAATTCTCCATGAAAATAACGATCAATGATTTCTTGAACTAATACATTAATTATTTTTTTCTTTGCAGCACAAGGACTTTCCACAATAATTTGTTCTGTTTCCAAATCAAATATATTATCCAAATCTTCAAGTTGTTCAAAGTTGTTTATTTTGTCGTTTCCAATGGATACTTGATGTTGAAAAGTCGTTGTTGTATCGTCGACGTTACCAGGAATAGAGTCATACTTTATAGATAACAAAGATAACAGTTTTAATATTGAATAATGTATAATAGATAGTGTTGGATATGTGTCTGAAGAAAATCGATTTAT